ACCTAACTTTATGGATAAACCATGGAATACTTCATATACAAGACCTATACACTAAAAATAAATTAGATTCCTTTCAGACTATTTGAGGAAAATACCAAATCCCGGCCACTGAACATTTCACCTATATACGTATAGCCCATACCCTGTACAAGGTGAATGTGCCACTCAACATAAAAATCCCAGCAACAGCACAACAATTCTTCCAAAGAACAACTTATCCAAAAAAAGGTATATCAACTTTTTACAGGGCTCTAGTTGAAGCACAATTTACCACATACACATCATCCCTAGCGAACTGGGAAAAAGTAATCCCCCAGCCAATATCTCCCAGCATGTGGGAGAAAACTTTCACCATCACTTTCTAGGCTTCAAAGTGCAGCTTACATTGGGAAACATACTTGAAAATACTTCATCAATGGTACTTAACCCCCGTTAAAATGTCCTTATTCTATCCTCAACATTCCCAAACTTGCTGGAGACATTGTGGTGAAACAGGCTCACTTCTCCATTTATTGTGGGCGTGTAAATCCCTCACCTCCTACTGGAACCACGTTTTCCAGATAATCTCCTCCATCACAAAGACATCAATAACTCCAAACCCTGCTCTAGCGCTCCTCCATATCGGCATAGACAAAATACCACTATCTTCACGCATCATCACCATACACATCTTGTCAGCTGCAAAGTTCAATATCACCAGGCTGTGGCGATCTATCACCACTCCCTCTTTACCCCGACTACTAACTGACCTTAACTTCCTATGCGAGATGGAGAGAAGAACAGCCCTCCATAATTCCTCGTATCATAAATTTAAGACTCACTGGACTCGATGGTTACATAACCCCAATTGCTCAATAAAATGATTTTAGAACATCCACGTTACACGATTCTGATAACTTAGGTGCCCCAACCTCCCCCTTTCCCCCCTTCTCCCCTTCTAATCCCCCCATATATATATATCTACCAAAGTTTTAGCAAGGTTCACAAAATTAGGGGCATACCTCTCATGTAACTAAGACAGGACTTTACAATTTACCCCGGCCAACTGGTGGGGTACCTCCACTCCATTCTTTCCTATCCATACAATGTTTGTATTAATTGTGAACCCTTTATACCGTTGTTCTCTGTTATGTATGTTTCAAAAATTTCTCAATAAAAAATACTTAAATATAAAATCTATGGAGATCATGCTCCAGGGCCAGTTAGGTATTGGCAAGGGTCGCAGCAGGCCCCAAGCCCTGTCTCTGGTGGGTTTATTCCGATTACAGATAGGGCAAGTTTTAACATATGCTTCACAATCTTTGGCCATACTTGGCCACCAAAACGTGCGTTGTGGCAATTCTAGGGTCTTGTGTTTCCCAAAGTGACCCACCAATGGATGGTCATGACAATAGCCTAAAACCAGGGTCTGAGCTTCCTTGGGTACCAGGATCTGCCCCCCCCCCCCCTCCTCACAGAGACCTTCCCTGCTCTGTATTGAGGTTCCAGGTAGATCAGGAACCCTGGTGGAAGCAGCCTGTAGTTTGGACAAAAGCTCAGACTGGAGCAATAGGAAACTACCTGCCGGTAAGATGATATCCAGTTGGGGTGTTTCTCTAGGGTCCTCAAACATCCGGGAGAGAGCATCCAGTTTGTGTTTCTAGACCCAGTATGATAGGTGATATGTAGATTGAACCTAGCAAAGAATAGTGCCCATCTGGCCTGGCGTGGTCGGAGGCGTTTAGCTGTCTTCAGATACTCTAGGTTCTTATGGTCGGTATAGACCAAAATGGGGTGTAGGGCTCCCTCTAATAGATACCGCCATTCCTCTAATGCTGCCTTAATGGATAACAATTCCCGATCCCCGATGTCATAATTTCTTTCCAAGGGGGAGAGCTTCCTAGAAAAGAAAGCCACCAGGTGCATTTGTTCCTTGGCCCCTACTCTTTGTGACAATACTGCTCCTACAGCAACTTCTGATGCGTTTACCTCTAATATATATGGGTGATGATGCATCAGGGTGACTCAGGATGGGAGCTGTTGTGAACAGTTTCTTTAAAGCTTCAAAAGCAGCCTGTGCTGTCGGGGTCCATTGAAAACGTACCCACACCTTTGTGAGCTGGGTGATGGGCTCTACCAGGCCTGAGAAATTCTTTATAAATTTCCTATAAAAATTAGCAAACCCAATAAACCTCTGCACCCCCTTCTTATCCGTGGGGGCTGGCCATTCCAAAACTGCCGTGATTTTCTGAGGGTCCATAGCGATCCCAGTGGTGGAAATGATTAGACCCAAAAACGAGATACTACTCTGCTTGAAACTGCATTTCTCAGCTTTGGCGTAGAGCCCGTGCTGACGGAGTCGCTCCAGCATGCTTCTGACATGCCCCCGATGCACCTCCAGAGACGAGGAAAAGATAAAAATGTCATCTAGATAAACAATTACAAAAGTGTCCAGAAAGTCTCTAAAAATGTCATTCAAGAAGTGCTTAAATGTGTACGGCGCATTTACATAACCCAAATGGCATAACTAAGCATTCAAAATGCCCGAATCGAGTGCAAAAAGCAGTTTTCCACTTGTCCCCTTCGCGTATACGGACCAGGTTATAAGCGTCCCTGAGATCGAGTTTAGAAAAAATGGAAGCTGTCTTCAACCACTGGAACAACTCAGGGACCAAGGGAAGGAGGTAGCGATTCTTGACTGTGATTTTATTTAAGTCCCTATAATCGACACAAATGTTCTCAGGGATTGGTCCTTCTTTTCAACAAAAAAGATTCCTGCCCCAGCCGGTGATGTGGTTCTTTCAGTGCCCCCAGCTCTCGTTCTGACAGGGGGGAAGATTCGGCCAAATGGTATTTCAGAACCTGGGAGAAGGTCAATGGGACAGTCGTAAGCCCGATGCGGGGAAAGAATATCTGCCCCCCCCGTGGGCTAAAACACGTCAAGAAACTGACGATAGGCCACAGGCACAATTTGGGCTGCTCTCGGTATCGGTACTCAGACTTAATGAGGTTGGTGTATCTAGTGGTAACCTGGGTAAGCAGTGCTCCTGGCAATAGGGTGAGTGAAACTGAATCGACCCGGCCTTCCAGTCAATTTGGGGGTCGTGAGCTCGTAGCCAGGGAAGCCCCAAAATAACTGGAAATAGGGGGGACGCAATGGCGTCCAAACGGAGAAGCTCTTGATGATGCCCTGCCACTGTGGTGTGTGTATAGGAGGGGTCTCCCGATCTACTGTCCCCGATTTTATTCGAGACCCATCAGCCAAAAAAATGTTCAGGCCATGCTCCTTGGTGAGCAAAGGAATCTGCTGCTGGGCTGCGAAGCAAAGGTCAATAAAGCAGCTACACGCCCCAGAGTCAATAATAGCTGTCACCTGTATGACTCTTCCGGGGAGCTGAAAAGACACAGGCACAGCCAAGTGAGTGGGGTTGCCTGTGCACACAGTAGACATAGCAGAAATAATAGAAGAGGACTTACGGAACTTCCCTGGATAGGAGCGCACCATGTGACCCGCTGCTCCGCAGTAGAGGCATAGATTGTTCGACCGACGTCTCTGGCGTTCTTCCGTTGAGAGTGAAGACCACATCAGACCGAGATGCATGGGCTCAGCCCCATCTGACGATTCCGGAGTCCGATTGCCGGCACTGACCTTTGGCAAGAGTGGTACCCTTGGCAACATCCATGTGGGTCTTGACCCCTGACTGGACCTCTCCTGTCTCCTTTCCCGCAACCTACGATCGATCTGGATGGCCCGGTTTATTAAGTCCTCCAAGGAGTCAGGTACTCCTACTCTTGCCAATTCATCTTTTAACGGGTCAGACAATCCTAACCGAAATTGATGACGCAAGGCTGCCTCATACCTCTGAGTGTCTCCACTCCAACGCCTAAATTCAGCTGCATAATCTTCCGCAGCCCAGCGTCCCTGCTGTAAGGAATAAAGGGCTGCCTTAGCCGAGGCGTCTCGATGCGGGTCATCATAAAGCTGCGCCATTGCCTTGAAGAAGGTAGTAACAGAGTTCAGGTGTGGGTGGCGAGTCTCCATCAGGCGTTGAGCCCATCCCTGGGGTTCACCCTGCAACAAGGATATAATGAATCCTACTTTCACAAATTCAGACGAAAAGGTCCGGGGTTGCAGATCAAAATATAGCTGGCAGGAGTTCTGGAAGGCCCTGAACTTTCCTCGATCCCCATTGAACCGCTCGGGTGTTGGCACTCGTGGTTCTGGCGGAGGGATAGAGAATGCTGCTCCAGTGGAAGGTTCAGCGGAGCCCCTGGCAGACAGCGCACTAACCGGGTCTGATGTTGTGGGCGCAGGTGCGGCCAAGCTCTGAACCCGTCCCTCCAGATGCTTATATCCTTCTTCTAGTGTTTTAACGGCCTGTATGAGCGCCGCCAGGTGTTTACACATCTCTTCCCAGGGAGAGGGTCCTCCTCTAGACTCAGTCATGGCCATATGGTTCTGTTATGGACCTGTCGGCGGTAGCCTCTAGCGTTCCACAGACCGAAATTCCCCAAGGCGCGGAATCTAAGCCCCGACCTGCTTGTTCACCAGGGCCGCTGATGGTGGGGGTGGACTTGGAGCAGGCCAAAACCAGGTCGCGGGCCCTGGGTGCACCCAGCTGTGGTAGAAGCACTTGCCGGAGGTGTATAGCAGGCGAGAGCCTGATGTAAGGAGGTAGAGAGAGCGGAGTCGGGCAGGCCGGGTCAGTAGCGGTGGAGGCAGAACGGTACAACACAGTAGACAGAAGGATAAACTGGTCACGAGCCAGGTCTGGTAACAGGAGATCAAAACGTGCAGTATTAGACAGGAGAATGGTCAGACAAGCCAGGGATCAGAGCAGGAGACAGTCAACGAATCAAGGTCAGGCAGGGTCGGCAACAAGGCAATCTACTTCAGGAAACACAGGATACAGGTAAGACCATACGGCAACTAGATCACAGATCTGACCTGTTTAAATAGGGCGCCCTGCGCCCTCATTGGTGCCAGGCGCGCGTCCGTGATCGCGAGTGCGCATGAGCGACTGCCGTTGCGGGTGCCCAGGTCCTAATGCTCACACGCTAGTTTGGCCCATGCCTATGCGCCGCCGAAAGATCTGGTATCCCTGACACTCTGGTTGCTGGATGATCTCTAGCTCCCCGTGCCGTGTACCTGTTTCCTGTTTTCTGTTTCCTGTGATTCTGACTTGTGTTTTCCTGTTACCGACTCTGTCTCTGGTCATCTCTTGTACTATGTCTGCAGTTTCTGGTCATCTCCTGTACTATGTCCGCAGTCTGTGGTCATCTCCTGTACTATGTCCGCAGTTTCTGGTCATCTCCTGTACTGTGTCCGCAGTCTATGGTCATCTCTTGTACTATGTCTACAGTCTCTGGTCATCTCCTGTACTATCCGCAGTCTCTGGTCATCTCCTGTAGTATGTCTGCAATCTCTGGTCATCTCCTGTACTATGTCTGCAGTCTCTGGTCATCTCCTGTACTATGTCTGCAGTCCATTGGTTCAGAATATTTTTTTAATCGTTTTCTGCCTCTAAAACCTAGGTGCGTCTTATGGTCATGTGCGTCTTATGGAGCGAAAAATACGGTAACTAAATATTAAGTCATTCAAAGGAAAGCAAAATCTTCAAACATTTTTCAGTTTATATAGTGAATGTTTGAGTTTGTAAAGAAGAATACAAACACTGCTATTTTTTTGAACAGTCTAATATTCACTTTTCTTCCCTTTTTTTAGAGGAACAACACAAATTTGATATATTTTTCTTCATGTTTTGATTTGGAATAGAATGTGTAGTGTTCCCAATGCATTTGTGTGTATGGAAATAAAAGCTATTAGAAGGATTTTGAGCTTTATTCACTTTTTTCAACACGCTGCTATTATTTTGTACACAACTGTACATCCCCAGTTATAAGAGGGTGTGCACACTTATGCAACCACATTATTTCAGTTTTTTAGTTTGTTTTTTAAATTGAGTTGTACAGTTTATAGGTCACATTAAAGGTAGAAAAAGTTCTGCAATGATGTATCTTTGTCTCATTTTTTTACATCACAGAAACATGACATTTTAACGGGTGTGTAGAATTTTTATATCCACTGTAACTTAATTCCTGAACTTACTTGTTTTGGTTTGTTTTTGTATGTATGGATGGCATGGGTTGTTACCAACATGTGGTGAAAATTTCACCTTTAGAAATATATTTACCTACAAAAATGGTGATGTGTTCAATACATATCTTACCCACTGTATGTTTTTTTTTTTTTGGGCCTAAAATATTTTTTTTTATGTCTGCAAAAAGGGCTCTGGCAGTGAAGGGTTAAAGGATAGCTTTACCTTTAAGATTGTTACATGTTCCAGTTGTTTTTAGGATGCAAAGTGTGACATATTCCCACTCTCGCAGCAGCTTGGCAATCCGAGCCCTCTGTGTGACAGCAGTATGGGGAGAAGTTCCCCGCACTAGTTGTCACTTGTTGAAAAGAAGATTCTGTGAATGAATCAACCATGAGTACCGATATGTAGCTTGTAGTTCTCAATGAACTACCATGGCGCTTTTGAGCGCTCTGGTAGTTGATTGATTCTGCCTGTCAGTGTGAAACTGCCTTCCTGTACAATGTATGATGTATGGACAGATAGATCACACTGACAGTCTGCTGGAGTCCTACAGTGGTGCAATGCTTACCTGAAAAAAAAAGTGCATTCATTTATTTTTTAAGGTGAACATATCCTTTACTGGAGTGAACACTGGCTGCTCAGCATGCTCTTGTACTGAGCACCCCAGTGTTTCCTTAACCTGGAGGAACAAAGTTTTTTTTTTTTTTTTTTCTCAATGGGGTCGATGCCTTATTTACTCACTTAGCAAATGCTCTTCTACTGAGCATTAAGAGAGCCTAGCACTCCCCTTTCCTGACAAGCACCAAATCAATGCTCATTACACTTCAAGGTCTCTTCCCTCCCTGCTAGTCCCTGGATGCAGTGCTGGAGACAGCCAGTGAGGTGAGGAGGAGATATACAGCACATGTTAAAAACATGAAAAGTTTAGATCGCCATAAAGCTCCTTTTTGTTTTTAAAAGCCCCAGACATTCCTAAAAGCACCTCAGATTTAAATATGGTTTTGGTTAGAATAATTTTTATTTTTTTCTATCAGGACAAGTAGATTGTCATGAAGGACATGTAGATTGGGGCCCCATTTTTAAAAAAAATTACCCTGTGTCCTTAAAAAATCTTGTATCTGTGTCTTTAATGCAAATATTTTGCTGTGAAGTGTTTTCCCTGATTCAGTTATTCACCATATACCATGCTATCCCACCACCAATATTATAATGCTCTCACCTTCTCTTATAGCCTAACAGTACTCAAACAGATTTGCCAAGCTGGGTGAAGGTGTGGGGGTAGAAACTCCGAGGTGGCAAACCTAGATCTCACTGCTATCCCTAACAGTCAGGAGAGCAGCCCATCTAATATGGGTGGTGAGGGAAGTGCAGGCATGACTAGAAAGTTGGTGGTACTAGGAGATTCTATAATCAGAAGGACTAATAGAATAATTTGTCACCGGGATCGCCTCAACCAGTGGTTTACTGTCTCCCTGGTGCCAGGGTTCGGCATGTGGTGGACTGGGTTTATAAACTACTGGGAGGGACTGTGTATGACTCAGCTGTCATGATCCATATTGGAGCCAATGACAGAATACATGGAAGGAAGGACCTCCAATGTGATATTCTCTGAAATATTGCCTGTGCCATGTGCAGCTAAAGACCTGGTATAAGTGCAAAGGATTTGGGTTTCTAGAGCACTGGGCTGACTTTTCATTGGGGTGCAACCTATATGCTGAAGATGGTTTGCACCTAAATGAGAGGGTCTACTGTGCTGAGGGAGAGGCTTATGAGAAGGTTGGTCTAGAATTTAAACTAGGATGGGGGGGATTATAATGACAGACAGATCAGACAGGAGTTAGTCCCTACTGGTGGGTGGAATGGGGAAAGATAGGGGGAGGGCTATGACGGGTAATAAGAATGTTCCCATGTTATAAACAACCATCGGAATTGGTACTATTTGTACAAAAATAAAAAAAAAGTGCAAAATATGTGTGCCAAGTTGTGACAATGAATTAAAGTGTTTGTTCACCAATGCCAGAAGTCTGCCAAGCAAAATAAGTGGGTTAGAAGCTTTGGTGCATGAAGAGAACTATGGTTTAATTGGTATTGCTGAATCTTGGCTTCATTCTTCACATGACTGGGGCATTAATATTCCAGGCTATGCTCTCTTTCAGAGAGACAGGGTAAAAAGGAAAGGTGGTTGAAAGAAAATGGTGGTTGAAAGGAAAGAAAAATAGCGGATATTCCAAACATTATAATGAAACAGTGACTTATGAATGATTGTGATAAAGTAACATTTAGAAGACTAAGTTGTGGGACCAGGCCAGCCCCCCCAGGCCAAATGATATTGCGGACCCACATTTATTTAGTTTTTTACGTTCAGTTGCATGTGGGAAGACATAGAGGGAGATTTACTAAAACTTCAGCACTCAATCTGCTGCAGCTGGGCATGGTAGCATATTAGCTTCTAACTTCAGTTTGTTCAACTAAGCTTTAACAATAAAACCTAGAAGCTGATTGGTTTCTATGTAGAACTGCACCAGATTTTGCACTGTCCAGTTTAAGTAAATAACCCTCATAAAATGTGAGCAGCAGTATTGATTTGGTGATTATTATTTTCCATAGGTGGTTGTGCTGGGGTTTTGTTTGATATATTAAGTAGGAATAGGTATGTTTTTAGCTTTGTTGACTTTGTATGCATTAAATACTAGTCAATCAGAAAATATTTTAGCTGGGCACATATTATTTTGTTAAGTATGTTCTCATTACACAGGTCATAGGGGAGAAAACATTATGCAAACATATTTCTTTTAATGTCTTGTGTATTCATTCAAGTTTTCATACAGCTCATTTAGGCCTTGTTTAAACAGGGCAGTAAAAAATAGGTGGGTGAGCATCAGTTTTACCTCCCATTGACTGTTGAGCTGTAAGTCAACATAGCCAACAGCCATCTTAGTACTTGTCCACAGCATAATTTACAGTGCCTTGAAAAAGTATTCATACCCCTTGAAGTTTTCAACATTTTGTCATTTTATAACCAAAAATCTAAATGTATTTTATTGGGATTTTATGTAGGTAGATGATCCCAAAAAAATATGTGGGACTTTTTAGGCAACTCCATATACAGGTGAAACTCGAAAAATTAGAATATCGTGCAAAAGTTAATTTATTTCAGTAATGCAACTTAAAAAGGTGAAACTAATATATGAGACTCATTACATGCGAAGTAAGATAGTTCAAGTCGTGATTTGTCATAATTGTGATGATTATGGCTAGACTCATCCACCTCACCAACCGCTCCACATCTGCCTCCCCCCTCTGCCAATCCCTTCAGTGGCTCCCGATTGCCCAGCGCATCAAATTCAAATGACTAACTCTGACCTACAAAGCCATTCACAACGCCGCCCCAAACTACCTAACTGACCTGATACCCAAATACCACCCTACCCGTGCCCTTCGCTCCTCACAGGACCTCCTACTCTCTAGCTCCCTGGTCTCCTCCTCCCACGCCCGACTGCAGGACTTCTCCAGGACTTCCCCCATCCTCTGGAACTCCCTACCCCAATCCATCAGACTGTCACCTACCCTCCTCACCTTCAGGCGCACCCTGAAAACCCATCTCTTCAGGGAAGCCTACCCCACCCTCACCTAACAACCGATCTCCTCCACTTCTCCCACCACTCCATCCCCCACAGCCACTTCCTCCTGTACCACTTCCCCTCCCGCCTAGATTGTAAGCTCGAAAGAGCAGGGTCCTCGAACCTCTTGTGTATTGTATTGTTACTGTTTTGTCTCATGTTCTGTCCCCCTTGCTATTGTACAGCGCTGAGCAAACCCTTTGGCTCTATATAAATACTGTATAATAATATAATTATGGCTTACAGCTCATGAAAACCCCAAATCCACAATCTCAGAAAATTAGAATATTACATGCAATCAATAAAATAAGGATTGTACATAGAACAATATCGGACCTCTGAAAAGTATAAGCATGCATATGTACTCAGTACTTGGTTTGGGCCCCTTTTGCAGCAATTACTGCCTCAATGCGGCGTGGCATGGAAGCTATCAGCCTGTGGCACTGCTGAGGTGTTATGGAAGACCAGGATGCTTCATTAGCGGCCTTCAGCTCTTCTGCATTGTTCAGTCTCATGCCTCTCATCTTTCTCTTGGCAATGCCCCATAGATTCTCTATGGGGTTCAGGTCAAGTGAGTTTACTGGCCAATCAAGCACAGTAATTCCACGGTCATTGAACCAGGTTTTGGTGCTTTTGGCAGTGTGGGCATGTGCCAAGTCCTGCTGGAAAATGAAGTCATCATCCCCATAAAGCTCGTCTGCGGAAGGAAGCATGAAGTGCTCCAAAATCTCCTGGTAGATGGCTGCGTTGACCCTGGACTTAATGA